AGCTTAGATGACTTTCGTATGATGTTAAATGCTTGGAAGACGATTTCAGGGTTAACCAAAAGTTCTCATCACGTTGTTTAAAATTTTATAAAATAGTTAATGTGAAAAGTTTTATTGCATGGATACGTAGTAGGAAGCCTCATCTACAAGAATATATGTAACAACCACCTTGAATGTAATTCTGACATTTTTTTAGATATACGTCTATAATATACCTACTATGCGCATATATAACTGATCAAGCAAACAAAGAATCGCTTGCTGCGAAGGTTTCTAAGATAGTAAAGAATGATCCTGAAAAGGAGTTTTAAAAAGCTTTGGACAAATCGTTAGAAACAATAAAACCTTGCATAAATAATAATCGTGACTGTTTTGAAACTTTAATAAAATAAAACTAAAAGTATCTCTTTCTTTTTATATTTTCATTTGACATTATTAGAACTTCTGATCAGCCATAGGTAAACTTTACCTAAAAGAATGTCATAATAAAATCCAAGATAGAGTTGTTACGTAGATTATTATATAAGAGGCATTGTACTATGGATTCATGTACTAAAATGTTCAATATTAACTATTTTATAAGATTCTAAATACGGTGATCAGAACTTTTAGTTAACTCTAAGTAATTTTTCATTACTTCATTCAGCTTTTTCTCTTTTTATTATTCCGTAAAAAATATTTCTGCCTTTTACTTTTTAAATTTCTTATTTTTTTTTTTAAATATTTAATCATCATTTATACTTGTTTTAACATTTTTAATAAATATTTTATTTGAAAATACGGAAAATATAAGTGAATTTATCGAGGCAAATTGTGTTCCAAGCTAATAAAAAGAGTTGAATGTTGCAAAATTTTCATGAGTGCGTCTGAACAGTCTCATCAAGCGAGGTATGACTGCAATTTACACCTATGGAGGAGAGATTTTGTACTTTGTTTTATATTATGGTAAGCAAAAGAGCACGACAAAAGTCGCGCACTTTCGTTTCATTCTGCAAATGTTGCTGCTGAAAAGAATAAATAACCTAAACTTCCTGTTAGAAGATACAGCACTTCATTAACGTAAGATATCTTAGGACAGAATTCTAGAATTTCTTGAAAGTATTCGCTGCCAAGGTCTTTCCAATCTATCCAAAATGTTTTCCAAGTAGAACTGGATACACTTTATCTATTTCATAGGTCATTTTTCCCAAACAATCATCCTAACCTAGATAAAAGTGCGAATTACTATCGAACAACACGGAAAAAACTACAAATGCTCGTACTACATGACATGATTCGTCTATAAGCGTGTTTTCAACAAAGTAAATGATATTTTCACATAGCACTCGTTTGGCTCTGTCCATGTCCTATCTCTCTAGCTCGATCTTAGCATAGTATTATTGAGAAAGCTACTAATTAATTTTTACGGTGCGAAGCACTATATAGTATCGCGTCGTGAGTTTTCTTTATTAAGGTGCGAAGCAACGATATAGCGGCTCGTCGCGAGTTTTCTTTATATCTTTGTATCTAGCTAGACGTATGCATCAAATTTGTAATTAATGCGGCGCGAAGCACAGCATTTATGTAGTCGGTCGCGAGCTTTTTTTCTTTTACTTTCTCGACGTACGCAGATCAACTCGTCATTTTGTGTCGCAATGATTTCGAGAAGCGAGAGTCACAAAAACACACTTGAAAGGCGAAGTACAAGTATCGAGATCGAAGGATGTGTGGTGTGGGTGGGTGTGGGTGTGTGGGCGTGGCTGGGTGTGTGGTGGGTGTGGATGTGGGGTGTGGTTAAATACACTTCCGCACACACACCCAAACACACACCCACAATGACCTAGACAAAAGAGAATACCAAATTACTATCTAAGAACTCAAATGAAACTAATCGTGTTAACGATACAACTATCTTAACAGTCAATATTGTAACTGGTTAAATAAATTTGCAGTTGTTCCAACAGATTCTTGCTGTTTAAGATTAATAATCTTAGCTTTACTATATCATGATATTATGCAATATAAATGGGAAAACATTATTTGCATCATTGATTATAGTCTGAAGGATAAGGTATCAAAAGATCCATTTTTTCTGTGATCATCTAGTAGAAGATTTCATTTGTTTGCCTGAAACTCTGCATTGATTTATACCTGCACCTCATTGTCGAATAAATATTCGATACAGAATATCAATCTTTTTATAATAAACGTTGTTGCACAAAGTTCCTTGTGATATAATCCATATTATTCGTATCGAACACAGATGTTAATAAATTGTTTGCTTTTTCAGTTCTAAGCAACAAAATTCATGATCTATTATTGTTTATTTGTTCTACAAGAAATTTACTAAAAACTGATACTGTTTCTATCTTCTTAAGGCCTTCCCCCCCCCCCTCTCAAAAATTGATCTCAGCCCAGGAACGTTCAAATTGCATGAAATTTTCAGGACATGTTGGGGCTAGAGTGGAGAAGCTATGATACAATTTTCAGTCCGATATCATGACGTTTAAGGGAGATACTGACCATGCAAGGGTCAAAAATAGCTCATTTGGCAAACCAAATTTCTCTGTCCAGGTTCATTCTACATAATTAATTTTTTTTTGTTTAAAAGAGCATGTCAGGATGCAGTGCAGTACAGAGCCCTTTTTTCAAATTCTTACTTTTTAGGGAAGAAAGCGGAATCACGAGTGCAATGACTCAAAAACCCTGAAAAAATAGGTGTCGAGTTATACAAGTGTCTGCATATATAATAAAGAAAAGCTTAATTGGAAAAAAAGGACTCTGTACTGCACTGCGTCCTGACATGCTCTTTCCAACAGAAATAAAATAAAATAAATCGAATGAGCCTGGAAGAAGAAATTTCGATTGCGCGATCAAAAAGGCTTAAACTGAGAAAACACGAAAAACATTTTTTTAAAAAAACTTTTAGCATTTTTAGGCACTCTTTTAATAGATTTGGAGAAAATAACCACCAACAGTCGTATATCTTTTAGAGTTCTGTATAAATAAACTTCTTTGATAGCTTGTGGAACTTCATGAAATGAGTAGTTTTATTTCTCACAATGGGTGTGGGTGGGTGTGTGGATGTTGGGTGTGGGTGTGGGTGGATGTTTGGTGGGTGTGGGTGTGGATGTGGGTGTGAGTAGTGGTTCTTTAAGGAAACAAAGCTATACCCAGACTCGCATCCACACTCACTCACAGCCACCCACCCACACCCCATACCCTCATTAAACATTTTTTAATGTGAACTTTGTCACATGAAAGTTTTTTTAAATAGAGGTTTTTTCTTGTCTATCAGTTAGTCGATTTTTCATTTTTTGCTGTATGAACTTTGATTTTTCTATAACAATCTATAAAACTTGCTAAAACGTCTCTACATTCTATTAAATTACTTATTTTCCATAAAAACCTCAAAATCTATTTTTTTTTCTAGAGAAAATCGTGTTTTTTGAGTAATTAATTGCAGAAATCATCAAAATTTTTCTCCAACGAAGAGGCGTTGGAAAAAAAATTATATCATTTCTGAAAGATCTGAAGACGGGCTATCTTCCCATGCGTTTATCTCAATTTCGAAATTTCTAACGAAAAATGACTTTTTTTGAGGGGGGGAAGGCCTTAAAAAACAGTGAACGTACTAAACTTGTTGCTCAAGTATCAAAATCCATAATGCCGTTCCTACGTGGTTTTAATTGTTAATTGAACTTCTTCTTTTTATGTATCAGAAGATCGAAATAATATTGTTCGAGTTTATCATAGTCGAATAATTGAAAATGATGAACTTGAATTTATGAAGAAAAGCATTGGTAAGTTCTTTTTCATCCACAGAACGTAATCGATCAGCTACGCTTGTTTTCTCTCGACTCACGTCTACATTGGTTCAGATTTAATGAGTAGATAAAAGGAAAGGAAGATGGAAGGCACGTGTATCATCACCAAGTGAAGATGAATAATATCTGAAAGAAACATTTTCTTACATGAAAAACATAGTTGGTGATGACATTAATTTGAATTTTCTGGGAAAACTCCCGTACTAGATAAATGAACATGAACTAGCGCAAGAAAGCTGTAAGAGAATGTTACATGATACTCATCTTGCTAGAAGAAATTGCTTGACATTACACGCAAAATTCGACCATCTATTTAGATCTTTTCGTGAAAGAATGGATATTTTGAGAAAACAACGAGTTTTTCAAGTTCAACCAATGATCTTTACAGTTATGATAAGTTAACCAAGAAATGAATTACATTATTTCGAAAAACGAATCACGGATTTGGATATCTTAACTTAGGAAATCTTTCGTCAAATTTTGTAGTAGATCGTTTGATAACATTTTATGTATATAACCTATGACAATTCTGATAAATCTTGACAAATATAGACGTGTTAATGTAATTCATACTAGCATGATAGACTTTTAAAAAAAGATCTTAAACGAATAATATTGAACTCGAATTAAAAATATTTGTTGCCGCTTGCTTTTCAGATCCTTAACTCTTCATGTGTATTTAACAAATAATTCCAAAAAAATCATGCATCATTGCTTCTTTTTCTCTGTCACTATATTTTTCCCTCGCGTATTCTTTTCTTATATTTCAGCGTAGTGGAGCGAAATTTGATTCTTCTTTGAAGATATTAAATACAATTAAATTTTTTAGAAAAAAAGATCATAAATAGTATCACATTTATATTAGGTCTCATATCTATTGAAAATAGCTTCAGACAAGACTAAAATTCTATAATCTTTAACATACTCTTCTATCAATGAATTTCGTTAGAGAAATATTATGATGAATCATTATCCATATCTACTGACTCATAGTCGAACTATTTTATTCGATAAAACAAAGAGCGATCAGATTACGCTTTGAATTCTCTTTTTTCTTTTTCTTTTCTATGCATATATTTTGTTAGTCAGTCAATTATTAAAACATTTCGTTTATAGCGATAAGCATCATCTTCTTAGTGAATATTGCAGATATAAACATTGTCATTACTTTATTGTACTTTTTATTTTTCAGAAATGCCAGAAATAGGTTCATGTACTGATGAAACATGTAATGATGAACTTAAAGAATTATATGAATGTCATTGTTGTTTACGTCTTGTTTGTTTACATCATTTGAATGGACATGTTGAAATAACAAAACAAAATAAACAACGAACAGATAGTCTTCGTCAAGAATTAAATACAATTGTAAATACACTACAATTAATAATTGTCGAAAAATTATCAACTATTAAATGCGAACAAAATTTAATTGAACAAGCAAAACAAATTCTTGATGTATCCAGTAGTTCAATGGATGAATTAGAAGATATTTTCGAAAAAATTAATCAAACAATAGCATTAAATCGTTCAGGTAAAAACTAAATTAGATAATAGTTTTTTTTTAATGCAAACTTTCTTTTCTTTGTTTGTTAAAAAATAGAAATTAGGGTGAAAGTCGAACCATTATTATCAGAAACCACACACCATTCTTCTGTTTGTACATCTAAGAAGAAAAACATACATTCAAATGGTAAGATGAAATTTTTCTTTTAAAAATATATTTTTTTTTGCATTTCATTCTATTTATTCTTGTTTACTTCGATCGAATCATAGATACTGATAGCTAATGAGGGAGCTATCAAAACTTATTAATCATCATTTGAACTCATATTGACACTAGAAAGATGACGCAGTTGAATAGTCTGAAAGTTTTAGATCAAAATTTTCTAGAAAACTTGATTTTGACTAGTAGCTATTTAATACAAATCTGATATCTTAATGTATATTATTGACCTAATAATTATGGTAGATCAGCTCATGTATTTTCTTGTAAAATAAAAAAAATTCGTCAAAATATAATTGTTTTTTGTATGTTTAGATATTGCAGAAGAATCGGAAATTTCAAAAGGTAATTGATATTTTCTTGAACTTCAAAAAAGAAAATGAAAAACATAATTGATTTAAGATAATGAATACTCAATGGATATCAATCATGATTTTGTTGAAACTATTACACTTGAGTAAGTTTCTTTTTATAAGAAAAAAAAACGATTAGAAAATCGATTGCAATGTTTTTTTTTGTTTTTAGTGACACAGAAGAATCTATTCAGGTAAATATAATTAATTTATTTTTAATGGATGTTATTAAAAAGAAACCATAGTAAACATGTTCTGAATAGTGTTAGTATATTAATATAAAATTAAGATCCGATCTATCTACTCGAACCTGTCTCCGTTTTTTGATAGTAAGAAGTTATTTTAGAAACTGAAAATTAATGCAGTACAAAGAGAACTGTTTCTATCTTACAGAATTATTCTTCAAGATAATTAACTAGAATACAATTTTACTATTGAAATTAGTTTTTTAAACATAAATTAGAGAATTTTTTCAGTTTAAATATTTTCATTAATAAAATTCGGTTCTACAATAGTTTTGTTTACTATGAAATATATCCTATACGTTATTTAAACATTCATGATGTTATTTTTTTTTCAGGATGAGCATGTAAATGATAAAACGAAGAAACGTAAACGAAAATCATGCAGAAAAATTTATGCTAAATGTCCATTAACATTTGATGGAGCATATGGTCTTACGAAAACAAATCATTCTATTGAATTTTGTGAACATAAAACAACTCGTCGAATCGAATTATATTTTCACTTCCTTTACACACATCAATTGAAAAAAGTTTGTGCTGAACGTTTGATACGAGCGGTTGCCGATCATAAAGATTCTAGAATAACAAAATTATTTGATGAAAATGAAGATGTGATTAATCATTCTTATAAAGTTTCATGTCCTTTTTTTCATGGACAAGTTAATTCATTAAAATATAATGGAGAAAATGTTATCATTCCACCATGTCAACGTCGTTTTGTTACATTTCATAAATTAGCATATCACTTACGACTTAGTCATAAGATTTCTGAGTCATTGGCACGACAATTAGTTGATGATTTGAAAAAAAAATCGGATAGAAAATGATCTTGTTTTGACTCCATTAATTTCATCAACATGATCAAAATAACAAAATCTTAAAATTGTTTTTATTGATGTTTTGTCTATCTTTTTTTTCTTGTTAATAAAAATAAAGAATTCAATAATGTGAAATAAATATTTAGATTATTTATTATTAGTGTTTAAGTATTTTTTTTTTATTTCAAGCTAATGATTCGATTACAAGAATCCAGCGAGAAAATATATGAAATTGTTGGGCAGTATTCGTCCTCATGATATGACCATGGGTAGATCTCAATAAGGTTAAGTTAAACTTGAAAGTGTTAGACTTCAAAAATAGTTTAGATCTGAATTTTTGACTTTAATTAAGTTTGATAGATCCGTTACTTAAATGTTCTATGTACTATGTATTTTTGAAATGTCATTATCATATGTATCAATAATCAATGTTGATCATGTGTCGATGTTGCACGAGAATCTATCCATTTCTTAATCACTTATTTGCACTGAAAAATCGAATAATGAGACACAACATGTACAAAGTCATTGTCTCGATGGGTATTGTTCATTAAAACGAACATTTCAAAGTTGGGTGTGAATGTGGGTATGGGTGGGGTGTGGGTGGGTGTGGGGTGTGGGTGTGGATTTGATGAAGAAGAGAGCCACACCCACACCTCATGGCGTCTGAAAATCTGCCGCTGCCACGCCGCGCCGCGATGGCTGACAATAATAATCTGCCGCTGCCGCGATGGGATTTTGAGAAACGTGTCGCCACCGCACCGCTGCCGCGATGAGATTTTGAAAAACGTGCTGCTGCCGCCACGACGGTAGCGGCGCGGCAGCAGCAGCGCCACCATGGACATCTCTGACCCACACCCACCCAAAAAAACTAACAAGAACAATCATTTTTACAACCTGTGGAAAAAAAAGAAAAAATTAGGTTTCATGAAAATAAAAATAGTAATAATATTCTAATGGAACAGAATGAATTTAGATCAAACTTGAAATATTATTTGAATTGATGTTACAAGAATACTCATTTGATGCAAGTATCGAATAAATTTGGAGCATGTAGATGATTATTATGATAGAAACTGGAGCCATGTAGAAAAGCATATGTTGCAAAACAATGGACGTAAGGAATCGAAAAGGTAATATACACGTATGCTCTCCCAAAATATAAGTTATGACATCAGTGAACAACTATAAAAGAAGGAATTTAATAGAAAATATTAAGTAACAAAACCTTTCAACATAGGTTAAATTTCAATCGATTACTCATGACATGCATATTGGATAGATAATTCGTGCAATCTGAGTCACTGAGGATGCAATACTGTTTTTATATAGCCTAAGTAATCTCAAAAAAAGCATAGAATGCATCTTAACACATTCGACCCGATGGGGTCCACCGGTGGACCCCACTTTGCATTTCATATTTTAATGTCTAAATACGTTTTATTAAAAAAGCAACATATACCATAAGATTCAGTGTGAAAAGCTCTACAATCTCCATAGTAAAGCTTATTTTAATTGTGTAATTTTTGTTTTCGAAGAAAGTAAAACTCTATATAACTAGTTTTCGAAGTTGCGAAACGATCTTTTTATTTGCACGAATGTGAAATTTCATTTTTCTTGTGTCATCTTTTTATCACCTAATATTATTTCGTAAGAAAAAACAAAATATAGCACAAGATGCAGTGTGAAACGCTCTACAATCTACATCGTAAAGTTTAGTTTTTGTTTTCGAAAAAAGCAAAATTCTGTGCAATCAATTTTCTCAACCTCAAACATTGGTCACACACAATTTTAGTTTATTTTGAAAACAAAAAGTACACAATTGAAAAAAGTTTTATGATGTAGATTGTAGAGCTTTTCATGCTGCATCTTGTGGTATATTTTGTTTTCTAATAAAACGTATTTAAAGATGTTAGTTTCTATGAAATTTGAATCGGGGTGAATGTGTTAAAATGCAATTTTTCTGTATTATTTTCGACTGTGAACACAATGGGTGTGGATGTAAATTATTTCTTCTCAAACGCTAAAAATCTACACCTACACCCTTGGATATTAGCGACAATACGTGAGTGTATATGAAGAGCCATAAAGAGAAATGACATGGATGTATGACAATGAACGGTTCTTATTTATCCGAACTTGTGAAATCGGTAGAACTCTAGAGACAACAGATTGCCAAAAGCAATGAATGAAATGCAATCACATTGAAAAAAAGAAAACAGAATTGCACAGCCTTGATTTTATTCAGCACTATTTTATTTACACTCTTTACCTCCACATTGTCACTCACTGTACAAACACTAAAGAAAGAAAAATAATGATGGTAACAATCATAAATTGCGTTAGTGTGTGTATTTCTTTCGTTCGTTTGTACGTTGTTAATGCACTTTTCTTTTGAATTTTCTTGTTTGTCATAATTGCATTCTTGCAAAGAAACCTAACAGAATCATAATCAATCAACGTTATGGATAATTTTGTTTTCGTGAAATAAACTTTTGTGTTTACACGAAGACATAAGGCATGCATCACAGTTATGATGCTTTTTTTTCGTTGTTTTTGCATTAAAAGATCGATTTACGTCTTCAACAATATCGGGTATGGTTATTTATTTCACTCCAGAGATGAGCACAGGACAGGACGAGATTTTAATTTTTGTCATGTCCTGCCACCCGTCATGACAGAACGGGACATGTAAAAAAACCTTCTCCTGTGCTCATCTCTAATATTGTTTTTCTTGAAAATAATATAAAATTCATTAGTTAGAAAATATTAAGGGTGTGTGTGGGGTGTGGGTCTGGGTCTGAGTGTTTTTTGCGCATAGTCATACCCACACCCACACCCCACACTGTAAAAAAA